TGTACTATAATATAGCCTACACAAAGAATATTGGCCGATATATCGATATCGGTCTTCTTTACTCCCTAATTTCGGTATCGGCCCGCAAAAAACCCATATTGGTCAGGCTCTACTATTTACTCCTCTATTAAAATGTTTTAAAAAAAGGTCTTTTAAAACAGGTCTATTATACAATGATAGGTCTAAATAGGTCTATAATTAAAATATTAACACTGCAGTCATCAATAAAAATCTATGAAATAAAAAGCTTTTATTTCAAGCACCGATTTTCAAAAACAACCTGTTTAACACGAAATACAGTTCTTCTCATTTTTTTCCCACTATGTACGGACCACAAGAGAAATATTAAGAGAATAAATTAAAACAGTTAGCTATATACCGTCATCAGCATATGTTGAAGTAGATTCCTCCCTCATCGTCTCTGAGAGAATATGCAGCATCAGATGCCGAAAGCTCCGTCATTACTCCGTCATTCCGTTTTTACTTTTACTTTCTGCATAGTGAATTGACTGAGATTAAGATGTTTACCGTCATAACTCTTGCGCAAAGTTTGCACGTTGCTTGTGCGATATCCATTGGCTCGTCTTCATGGTTTAAAACTGAAATATTTCCAACATTGCAAACCGTGACGCCACTGTGTCTTATCAAATCGAACCGTGAATTTTGTGAACCGTTACACCCCTAATATTTACACATCCTCATTCATCTCTGACTCAAAACACATCTACATCAATTTATTTAAAGTTTGTGTTCATGGGGCTGCACTTCAAGGATCAATCATTTATGTTGTAACAGAAGAGGATAAGATTCCAGAATAGCCTGAACCAGTTCAGTCTGAGGACACTGGTGTCCTTTCGCCTTTGTCTGAGTCTGTTAAGCATTGGCCATAGCAGTGGTACTGTTAGGACTACTTTTGAGAGAGACTTTAAGAGATGGGTGACTTCTTTGAAGTTGACACCCTCCAGACATTTATGCAGATATGCTCGATGACGAGAGCACTGTACTTTTGGAGGAACAAGAGTCTCTAGGAGGGTGGTTCAATGATGGGATGAACCACAAGGTTCACCATGACAGACACATTTATGCATGACAGGGTATTTGTGATTAAGGATCAGTCAGTGAACAGGCATGGCATACCTGTTGAAAAAACAGCATATGCTGGTTAGGTATGTTTTGAAGCATTGCTGCTGGTTTGAGCTGGTCCTTAGCTGGTCATGTGCTGGTCCTGAGCAGGAGCTAGTTGCTTAGGACCAGCATATAACCAGCTTAAACCGGCTCATGACCAACAGGGATCTTTCTCAGTGAAGTGTGCATATCAACAATGTTGGAATTTGTTGAGCTTCTCCAATGGTTGAATGCTCTTCCAGAGAGTGATGCATGTTTATGGGTCTGTCAAAGGCACAGGCATAGATTTTTTTGCTGAAACCCACACCTGAGGGAGTGAAGACTTTGATGTAGCAGTTTAGATATGGAAAAGATACAATATATGTAGATATGTTCACCTCATAAGTGTCTGCTGTCCATTTTACTGTGTACCAGACATGCTAGGCATAGACACACCAGCACACCTGTATCCTGAAATTCTGCTTATGAATTTCTTCCTGTCAGCTCTAATCTTCCCACTCTGAATAGAATCAGATTGGGCTGGTGGAGAGTGGTGACGCTGGCCCCACTATGACCAGGGAATCCATGGTTAGCGGAAAAAGTGTGAATGTTAAAAGTGTGAATGTTAAAAGGGCAAAGGACTGTAGTACTTCAATGATGCGTCGGTGTCTCATAATTATTCATGAGATTGCGTGTTCTTATCCTATGAGAAGACGCTTCATTTAATTATTCACAATAACATGTTGATTCGCTATGACAGACACTTTAGACTGTGAGATTTCGTACATTAGTGAGAGACGCGCATTCATGGATCGAAGGTTATCATATATTTTTTTTTGCTTTGTAAGAGTTCAGCACAAACGTGATTTATTCACAGCGTGTAGCCAGTTTTTACAGCTGCTTGATGCAATCCATCAAAAGGCTTATATAAACGCTGCAAATAAACGTTAGAGGTGCTAGAGCGTGTTCATATATTTCACGATGCAGAGTGCAAATGCAAATGGCTGTGCATTTATTTGTGTTTTTAACTCCCCTCTTCCCCCTCCACTCCGCAGTGCACTACGCCCAATTTTGTAGCATTTTTCAAAACTGTGGTGGAAGAACTAACCGGTGCTGAAACAGGGGGTTTCATGACCATTTAAGGTTTCCAGTCCAAATTAAACTGGCATGTTTCCGAATGTCACTGATATAATTCTGAGGCCTTGAGCTAATTCCATTAGGTTGTTACTTGACTTAAAGTGTAAAACCTTGTTGACCCCAGACATGATGAGGCACCGACAGAAAACTGATGCCCAGTTCTATTTCTGGCATACTCCACATGAATTTCGGAATTTCCACTTTGATGCTTCAGTGTAGACAGCTTCAAGCGGTTATGCCCGGTGTAGACCACATGTATAAGAAAAGCAGATCATTCTGTTTCTATGCTCTATTAGACATTCCTGGATCAGATGCGCTGGATCAGCATAACATTCAGGTTTTGAAGGTAAATCAGGGGTGTACCATATTCCTGTCTGGCTACTAAGCCATCACGATGCCATCAAGATGCATTATTTATTAAAAGGCCTCCAGGAGTTAGCGTTCATTCTACTGGGGGAATGACTACCTCTTGAGTCCTGTTTAGAGGCATCTCAACAGAAGACCTGTTTACTGGCAGATTGGGCTTCCCCTTTACATGCTGGTGAAATTTTATAGCCTAGAACTCATTAAAGCCAATGCGATGCTAAAAGCAGGGTCTTGAAGGGAAGGAATAGTTCAATCAAAAGAGAAATGCTTTTTTTTCATCATTTACTCACCCTCTTGTTGTTCCAAAACTGCATACCTTTTTGGGGGGTTGGACATGTGCAGGTGGCCTTATTTTAAGATCTTTACAAATGTTTGCCATATCCGACAATGAGATGTCAAGCAAGTGGACTATAAGAGAACTACTGGCTACAACTGTAACCCCAGTTTACTAAGGAAGAGCCTGAATGTGTCATGGTATAGAGATTTAAGGACTGCAATACAGATGTGTGTCCAAGGAGAGTCTACACAGCCCCATATCACTCTCATCTCCCTCAGAGAACTTGGGTTACAACAGTAACCTAAAGCTATTTCTAAAAAGGTCACACTGACATAATGTTTTGCAGAGAGAATGTAAAGCAGCACTGCATGCAAGAGACTACAGCATGGTGATGTCATGGTGTAACACCAAGATAACATCACAGTGAAGGTTCTGCTTACTTTAGCACTGTGTGACTGGGGAAGTGACTGGACCTGGGGGTGAACACAAGAGCCAGATACATATTTAACCAAACACACCACAAGAGTTACTCATACACACACCCTATTACTGTCAACATCACAGAAAACCTTTCCAGTTTATTACAGATGACCTTATTAGGGAAAGAAAACAATAAGGTCTATCAACAGCATATGTGGATCTGTCCAGTACCACAGAAAATTATTTTTTGTCACTCAGTTTAAAAACAAGCAAAAATTGCCCAAGTAAAAAAGTAATATATTTAAAATACATTTATTTCATGCTAAGTATAGTTCAAATCTATTAACGTATTTACTGACATATTGCTTGAGACTTATTGATATAAAAATGATAATTAAACTGTATTTGGGGTACTACTTGTGCACAATGCTCATTTCTTTATATAAAGCCTAAAATTAGTTTTAATGTCACTATTGATGAGGATTATATGATCTTTGAATAATATCGGTCTTTAAATGCAATAGTTCCAGATCTCTCGATCAAATATACTTCAGTTCATCTTTAGTTGGACTTCAGCACTACTTCCGCACAATTAAAGTGCATTAAGTACAAAATTAGTTGTTCCAATTTAGCAGACTTTAAGTATACCAGTTTAGTATACCAACAGTACAATTGCAGGGTATTTTTATTAAGTACATAAATATGTAAATATATTTGTAGTATACTTGGCATGAAATAAATGTATTTCAAATACATTTTAGTATATTTATTTTTCACTAGGTTGGTTTTACAGTAATGCACTTACGATGAACGTCTATGGGGCAGACATTCTTTTAAACAACATCATTTTACACATGCAACTATGGTATCAAATGTCTTGTATCTTACATATAACCTTCATATGTTTTCTGAGTTGTGCTGATTTTCATTCTTAATCAATGATCCAAATAAATGACAACAAAACATGTATGAGGAAATAAAACAGAAATGGCCAGTCCAATTCGCTCACACTCTTTTGTCTGTAGCAATCCATTATAAATGAAAAAATTCCTTTAAACCATGGCCGATACACTGTTAAAGGTTCAGAAACAAGTTTAAATGGTTTGTAATGGATCCACTGAGTCAAATGTCAGGCCTTCAGAGTGTTAGACCGCAGCAGGCGGTGTCCTCTGATGCTTTGGCTGAGGTTAAGGACTGCAATAATGAGGTTGTTCAGAGGGTAAGTGGTCATGCGTGTGTGCGTGAAGGTTAAGGAAACTGACACACACTAAACTCTATCAGCTGCAGTCCCTGCTGCATTGAGACCGTGTGGCAAATTCACTAAACAATTGAGCCACTTGTGCATGTCATGCAGGCACACTTTTGTCATTCTAAACTGATGCAGATGCCTGAATTGCAATGTTGGAACTAGAGCCGTGCATTTCAGCCCGGGCCCCGACTTTTTTTACACCCCTCGGGCCGGGCTTTGGGCCAATTTTCACGTCATAGTTCAGACGCGGGCCGGGTCTCAGGCCTGTTTTAGGCTTCTCCTAATTTTTATATTTTAGACATCCATCAATTAGTGATGAAAAATAATTGCCGCGCTGGTGGAAACAACACAAGACCATGTTACCGCGGCTGTCAAGAGTGGCTCGACGGTGTTTAGTGTCCCGCAGCAGCAGCATGCGTGCCGACAGCGCAGCTGAAGAGATCTGCGTTCAGATGCACGCAATAGGCTAAAGCTTGAGCAAAAGTAATTACCATTACCGCAAAGCCCCAGCAAAAGTAATTACCATGAATGTGTCAGGCGGAAACAGTAAGTCGATATTCAAATTATTTAATAATAAACTAGTGTTTTCTGAGTCCGTGTCGCAAAGATGAAGTTTCTCATCAGACACGCCTTTAGAGATAAGTGCATCTTTACGGATTATGATTATAACGAAAGAGTTTTTGTTTTCGATTTGTTTTATTTCGTTAAGTGGTAATTTAAAGCTTTCTATAGATATATTTATCATGTCTGTGAGGCATGTATTCGCTGAGTTTCGGTTCATTTTTGTGAAGCGCTCCTGTTCAAGACGAGACGGCAGAAAGCGCATCATGTTTGTTTCCTTTATTTTATAAAAGCACAACGTTTTGTTGATATTGTGAGTGCACACAAATAAAAGTAGACCCTTTACAGCTACGAATGATGTATTACTCTTACCTTTATGAGCAAAAATGACGGCGTAGGCTATTTTAAGTTGTTTCCACTGAAAAAAAATGCAAGTGATTGCACTGGCGCCTCCATGTCCTGCAAAGGGCACTTTAGCTTCCACTCTCCACACAAACTTGGATATAATAGCGCAGGTTTACCATTTAAACATTGTTATATGCTTGAACTGTTTTAGTATATAGATTTTATTTTAGGCTTTTTAAGTCGTGATGATTTGAGAAGGCTAAATTGATCAAACATAGGCTCACTGTCTGCCGCTGGCCGCTTGGTCGTTACTTTAAAAAACAAAAACTTATATTTAACGAACAAAAAATGCTCCAAACGTTTTCTAAATGAACTTAATAAAAAAAAACGAAACAAAATATAATCATTTTGCCATTACATACAAAACTGAACTATTTTAATAGCTAAAACGGTAGTATAAGCTGTTTTGGGAGAAGGGGAAAAAAAAGAGGGGCTCGGGCCTAAATTTGAAGCCCGTGAAGGGCTCTAGTTGGAACAATGCTGTACTGTCTCAGTAAAGTATGCCAGATTGTTATAGTCCGCTATGGCCTCTATAACTCAAAACCAGTATGCAAGAATAGTAATTGCCCGATTTTCTGGCCGTGTTTGCTAGGGGTGGGAATCGCAGGGTACCTCACGATACGATACGAATCACGATACATGGCTCACGATACGATAATATCACGATTCTGCGATAATCGATATATTGCTAGACAATCCTATAACGGTAGGCTACATTACGATATCTGTCTAACTATGAAAACAAAATGCCTGTGAAAAGGTTACATGCAAGTTTTCTCTCTTTATTCAAGTCCAAACTGTTAGAAAACAACACAAAAGTTCTGTGAATCAAATTTAACATGCTAAGTAAATGAATCATTTTATTCTTGGACTTATTAAAAGCTTACACTTTTCTTTGTGTGTAAACCAACACATTTAACTGCTTATCAACTTTATATATAGCCTATATATATATAAACCTGGTACATTTCAAAATTTACCTACAGTGTTTTCTCAACCTTTCCTCTCCTCTCATCATAAAAACGGAGCCCCGCACACGACATGCAGGGAAAAAATAGCCGTTCACATCGCCTCTTCTGCGCGCTCAGGTTCGTTATTTCAAATGTAGACGTGCGGCAAGCACACACACTGCACACTTCTGCGCCGCATTACGGCACTGATGAGGTTTTGTTTCGTCGCCCATGCCATAGGTGCAGATTTATGTTTCTGCCAGTCGGTGTCCACTGCATAACGTGCACTTGCCATATCTGAGAGAGAGGGAGAGCATCCAGTTTTGTTGACATAAAACTGGACGCGCCGGCGGCACTCTCTCACTTATAGTTAGTGAGGGAAATCCACCTGCGATCCAAACGGAGAGGTTAGGCTACTCATGGACTGATTATGCGCTCTGCAGTAATAACGTGATCGGTGCCTATAGTCCACGCTGATAGCTGTTTGGGGGCAGTTTTTTAGTTCTCATTTCCATAAACATATATAGCAGTAGAGCTAATACAGTGGCTGGAAATGTGTTTATCCTTCGGTTCCTCGTGCTTCCCCATCTTCATAGAGAACGCGGTTCATGGTTGCTCAAGAGTGCTTTGGAAAGAAGGTGGAAATGGCGCGACCGCGATTTCCACGCATTTTTAGATGCTGCGAGCAGGGAAATCTATATAGAGCGCCTTATTGTAATAATTAAAATATCGATATTTGGCGCCAGATATCGATTCTCGTATAGCATGGAGAAGGACAACGATATATTGCCATATCGATATATTGTCCCACCCCTAGTGTTTGCACTGTTACCCTATTTGCATAATTCCGGTGAATCAGATGCTAAAATGATGCTGACAGTGCAATAAATAATATATAGCTAATAGTAAATTCCTCTCAGTGTTGATTGTGGGTGGTGTGAAGATGTACCTGCTGTTGCAATTTTGCATCTTTGCTGACACTTTTAGTCCTCCATCTTCTGCTGACTCGCTTTTCTTTCTTTGTCAAATCTACACAGTTACTCTAAATTACATGGACACATACACACACGCAAAGCAAACTGGTGAGAGGGTTAATAGCAGAAAACTGAAGCCATTGGCAGTGACAACAGAAAATAATATGTTGTAAATGTGTGATGAGATTTTATTTAATCAGAAGAGGTGATGAGAATGACATCAGTGAAAATACTGAAGGAAGAATTATGCTTTTGTGTTGGAGGGGTTGAAATTAGTTTGAGGGTTAGGGATGTCTGAATTATGTAAAGCTGCTGTATATATTATAGATCTGCATTACAGTCTCAACCAATTCCCAATATATAGCTATGCCGAGTGATTTCTTTTACTTGTAACACAATGATATGGCTGTGAATGATATACAGTGGGTACGGAAAGTATTCAGACCCCCTTAAATTTTTCACTCTTTGTTATATTGCAGCCATTTGCTAAAATCATTTAAGTTAATTTTTTTTCCTCATTAATGTACACACAGCACCCCATATTGACAGAAAAACACATATATATCATATATATATATATATATTCATGTGTGTGTTAAGCGAATGTGACAAAACAGATGGGACAAAACATCAGATACTGTTGGTCTCAGAACCTGTGAATAGGTTTACAGTGTAAGCGCAGCCAAAGAGAAACACAATCTGTCTGCAACACAATCTGTACAAATATACTAGACACCTAGAAGCTGTCTCTGTGTGTGTGTGTGTGTGTGTGTGGATATACCTGTATGTCGGTGAAGTTTGGAGCTGACTGTGTCCTTTGTAAGATCTCCATACTTTGCAGCAGTTGACTCAATTCTAAAAGACTAGACTGGCAGTAGGCAAGTTCTGAAATACAAATACACATATTGACTTCTGCAGGTTTGTGTGAGACTTAAATGTAGTTTTTAAAAAATACAGGTGCATCTCAATAAATTAGAATGTCGTGGAAAAGTTCATTTATTTCAGTAATTCAACTCAAATTGTGAAACTCGTGTATTAAATAAATTCAATGCACACAGACTGAAGTAGTTTAAGTCTTTGGTTATGCTTCTGATTATTTAAATTAAACTTGAAAATAACATCAATATACTTTTTCCCCTTAAATTTTCATTACCACACTGCATCTGAATCTTTTAATTATTTTGTAATTCACATTTCTTTCGATGACAACACTAGATTCTAGATCTAGACACTAGATTATCTTTTATTGACATCAGCATAAAGTACAAGTAGTACCATGATGTCTAAATTATTGTCCAAAATAATATAATAAGTAAGAAGAATAATTATTATTTTCTATTTTATTATGCCTACACACACACACACACACATATATGGTTTCTTTGTGGTAACACATGGCACTGATAACTTTTTGACAGGTTTTGTGAGCTATAAAATAAAATCTTAATTACTGAATTGTGTGTTACCTTCTGCACACTTGTCCATCTCCTCTGACTCCTGTAACCAGGCTGCCACTTTACTCTGTCCATTACTACAGGATGGCGGCAGCTGCCAGGGCAGACTACTGGGTTTACCCTGCTGAAAGGGCACAAACACACACACATGTTTACACAGCTGTCTGAATGAAGCTTAAATTTTATTTATGTTGTTGTTATAGTCAACATGAAACAGAAGACAAGAATGACCTTGTTTTGGTGTGCGCTGGAAGGGGTGTTCTGGGGTGACTCTGCGCTGGCAGACGGAGGGAAGGTCCGTAACGTAGCATCACGAGGAGAGCGAACAATCTCGTTCTGACGGAACAAACGATGGTGACGCAGCTTGCACACCCAGATGTCAAAAACATCTGGAGACTTCACCTTCAAGGAGAAAGAGATAGAGACAGTGACAGAGTTAGGAGACAGCCAGTTCACAGCATCAAAAATAAATGATGGAGCCATGAAAACAAGTTCCAAGGCAGATTTATTGTGACCTTTACATAACAAGAAGACAAAAAAGGAATAAAAATAAACCCCAAATACATAAAAGTGCCTAAAGCTGAAGAAACGCTGCTTCTCTCCACAATATTTCAATGAGTGCACATACAGACCAAGCAAATTACAGACCTTCAGATGGTAAATGTGCTCTTCTGTGTCCAGATCTATGCGACGAGCTCTTTTCTTGATGGACATCACAGACAGACCCACATCTATACTGCCATGAAGCTTTCCTTTCTGAATCTGAAACAAACACACACTCATTTAATACTCATGTTCTGCTCAAGTTGTTCCAAACCTGTATGAGTTTTTTCCTTCTGTTGAACACAAAATAAGATATTTTGAAGAATGTTGTGAAACAAACAATTGGTCCTCACTGACTTCCATAGCATGGAGCAAAATACTATAGAAGTCAATGGGAACCAGACCAGTTTGGTTACCAACACTCTTCAAAATATCTTTTGTGCTCAACAGAAAGACAAAAAACTCATACAGGTTTGGAACAACTTGAGGGTAAATGATGACAGAATGTTCATTTTTGGGTGGACTATCCCTTTAAAGCGCATTTCAAAGTAAAAGGTTTCCACACACACATTCACTCTGTCCTTGTTGCGTCAGTGCTTAGTGATGTTTCTGCTGCTGAGTCTGAGCTCATCTGAGTCACGCTACAGCGAGAGCAGACAGCCAATCACGGCTCACCGTCTCTCTCTGACCAACCTACACAACTCATCATTATTATTCACAGAGCAGCGCTGCAAGCACTCCACAGGAAGCCATTTAAAAGAAACTCACATCTACAGGAGATTTGGAGTACTTCAGGATCCCGTTATCTAAAATGAAAAATCGCTGTGTAGAAGACAAGAGAAAAAAAAACAGTATCTAATTAATATTTACTGTAAATACAAATTGTAAGGAATAAAGTATGAAATATAAGTAAAACACTGTTCATCGACACCCAGAATAAACATCAAGATTGTTGGTCTTAAGTGGTTTAAGCTGGTCTCCTAGCCTGGCAAAGCTGGTTTAACCAGCCTGGGGTGCGTTTCCCATACAACGACGTAACTCGCTGATTAACCAACATAGTACAATGCATTGTTGTGGAAACAAACTAGCTAGTCACGACACGGTTGCATCTCCGCCGTTTGAACCACACTAGTTCAACAATTTAGGGCCATTGTTAATGACGTCACACGCATGTGGTGGAGTAATAACATCTGCTATTTAACCGATTAGAGATCTGCTGTATTGAACATGGCACCTGATGACTAATTTAATATTTTTTGTTCCCCGTCATGTTGCTTTATTTGATGTTTGATTCATCGCAGATTCCCTCTTATAAGTTCCCTTATGAATTTATGCACATGTGCACTCTTCAAAAATGGGCTTATTAAGGACGTTGAACTATGTTGGTAACAATGGAACTTTCGACCATAGTTGGAAACGCAGCCCTGACCAGCGGAAACCAGCTGGTGGTAGTCATATCCAACCTTGTGCCAGCCCTTCAGAGGCCATTTCCTCTTCTTCAGCATAAAACCTTCATGTCTCTCTGGCCTCTGGATATGAGTTTGACCAATCCTTAGCCCATGCCAAACTCATTAGAAACATCATTAAACAGACATCAGACCAGTGAGGCTCTACAGAGCGAAACACACAAATCATGAGATGGGAGAGGACTATTCCTATAAATAGATTTACACACTTTTAGATGATAACATGAGTGCTGCTTGCCCATTTAATAATGTTTACATGCACAACACCTGCAGAATAAGTTGCATATTCTGGTTTATCCTTTATTCTGAAAAAGATTTGCACAAACTCCAGTTATTGGAATATTAATTTATACATATATAATCAGCATTTTAGAATAAACAAAGGCATTTCTGCCTTTTTACTATTGATTAGGCTTTACTCTGCACAGTAATTTAATCGAGTAAACAATTCTCATTTCTGTCCTTAACAATGACATTCAAAAGATCTGTGAATTGCAAAATGCAGGCTAGCGGTCCAACGGATCACAAAACTCATGGTTCAGATCACATTATGGATTTTAAGATGCTTTTGGATCCAATATAATTATACACATCAAAAAAAGTCTGTTTATGTTCACTTAAGCAACTGTATTTACGAGAATACTTGATAATTGTAATAGATCATTTTTCTGTACGTCTACATTCAAGCGCAAGGAAATGTGAAAGAGACTTAGAAACATATGCAAATGATACACTTTCTCTCCATGATGGTTAAACTTTGCAATTAATCCGTGAACCTTTTTTGTGCCGAACTTGCAGTATAAAAACTATTGAACTAATAGTTTACTGAGATTATACTTCAACTGTACATTCATAAACTAAAAAGTGGGTATGAAGTAGATAGTCTACCTGTAAGTTCACTTGTAGTGTAATTCACAGTATAGTTGCAATACAAAAGAAATATAGCTGAAAACTGTAATTTACTAGCATTACACCTGAAGTACACTTAAAAGTATACGTTCATAAACTAAAAAGTGGGCCAATTTAGTCTCAAGAAGTATTGAAAGTGTAAACTTACATGTTAGTACATTGATTTTGTACACTTGATTTAAACACTGATTTTTATTTACACAAAGTACACTTAGAAAAATATGCTTGAACATTACTTGAGTTTACTTAATAAAATGAACTTGAAGTATGATTCAGAACGGTGACAGCTGCCTTAGCAAACATCGCTAATTAGTTTATATTAATGACAACTAACATTCTGCTCCCACTGTCACCATGGTAACAGCTGACAGAGAGGTGAGGTTAATTTGCCCTCTTGCTGAAGTGTATTAATCAGTATTCATCTGTATTGATCGGTCAGTGCGAGTGAACCGCTCTCACATTAGCTGTGTTATATTTTGTAGCCACCACTCTTTTTATTTAATGCAGAACTAATTATTGAATATTTTATTCTGTTAGTGAAAATACTGGATATAAGGGGAGTAATATAGAATAAATTGTGTATTATTCAGCTAGTTATGTGATTTCAAGATGCTGGCTTATTATATCTTCTATCTATATATTAATATCTTCTTATTAGGCTAAGGCTACTAACATGACATCATCATCATCATAAACATATCAGTACATAAGTACTATTCATTTCTTTAGGGCTAAAACTTTTAATTAAAAACAATGCATGTATACAAGGTGTATATAAAATGTATGTATACACTTTATTGGTGGTAAAATATTGGCGGAAACCACAAAGTCTATACAAAAACATGCATTAATTTCTTCACTATCGCTTGCACTGTTTGTGGAGAGTGCTGTGTCATTATTTGAATAAGCTCCCACTTTGTTGAACATCAATCTATTACAGTAATTTTATTGATTTAGCCGTCCCGTAACAACTGTGGGTGGTTGTTGCACATGTCCAGCAGTCCCTTCCTGCCTAAGTGAACAGTTCTTAGCTGTAATTGGCTGTGGATCAGACTTTATTATTATGCCTTGCTTTGATCAACCAGGTCAGTTGAGAGGAATGTGACCATCTCTGTCTCTGCACCGTCACATGGTCCTGAAACTGAATGGAGTACTAACCTACTGCTTACTGCATACTGCACAGTACACACCAAATACAAATATTACACATTTTAAATGGTATGTGAAATATAACACATCATGCAACAGTAAACATTCCATATGATCTTCAGTCAGTCACAAAGAAAGTTTTTTGTTTTTTGAGCCAAACACACTCATTACTTTGCAGTTAAAACTTATTTTGCATTTTTATCTAAAATCGTGTCCAATTAAGTCCAATCCAAGTCCAATTAAATAATAAGATATTAAAAATCACAGCTAGAAAAATCCTCAAAGAATTTGTTAGCAAGTTGGTGAAAAGAGCACCAACCCAAGAAACATTGTCAAAGCAGTAATCAGGTCTCTATATAATACTGTATTTAAAATATTATTATATATTAATATATAATTAAATATAAAAACATATTAATAATGCATTTTAAAAGTACAATTGTAAGCACACAGCATGCTAGTAGCTTTTAACCAAAATATAAGCAGAAAAAACAACAATGTGGTCTTATAGTCAGACACACACACACACACACACACACACACACTACATACATACATACTGTGGCGGGACGACCAAACGACAGACAGTGGGTGTGGCCTCGGAGAGGCTTTTATTAACAAAATATAAACAAAGTGTCCAGGAAAAAGGGCAATCAAGTGTCCAAAATAAAACAGGGGATCTGGTGTCCTTGTCGTGCTGCGGGGGTTCGTGCAGGGAAGGGCAGTGGTCAGGAAGGAAGGGTCCAGGTAAGGGGCGGCGGCTTCTTTCAGCGGCTTTGTCCTTCTCTCTGCCCACGGCGCTTGCATCCTAGCCCGACGGCCGTATAACGGGTGCGGTTCTCGTCCGGACCGCGGGTCCGGCGGCTCACAGCAATGGCTGCGCGGGAGTCCCTCTACGCACCCTTCCTGGACCCACGAGGACACCAGCGTGCATGCACGGGGAAGAGACCGGTCTCCCGAGGAGAGACGCGCTCGGCATTTAAACAGCGGCGGTGATGAGGCTCCATTCGGTTCAGGTGTGCCCCATCACACGTCGCCAGCCCTGGC